TACACCGAATCGGACAAACACTGGAACCACAGCACACAGACATGAGTCAAGGATACAACAACTTCTCTGGAAACGTGAGTCGGCAACCAAAACCTCTTCTCCAAGTTCCCTGAGTCAAATTCCCCACAGAGCCTGAACTAACCACTGTGTCTTCTCCTCACTTTGCAGTTTCGGTTGAGCAGTGTTCAGAGCAACACTTCTCCCCTTGTTTTACTTCTTCAATAAAACTTGTTAAACCTTTTCCCTGGTCTCTCTGTTCGGTTTTCTGCATTTTTGGGTCAGTACTTTGTAACATCATGACAATTTTATCATACAGATATTTGAGCTGTAGCCGAATACAATGATCTAAATATCGTGCAGTGCATGCCCAGCCTGACTTGGCATTTAAATAAGGTCCAACTCTGTAAACTAACTTTCCTAATTGTTTTTATTATTGTGTATTTTATTTTTACATGTTTTATTCCAATGTGATTAATTCATGGGTGTTATTTTGAAAACAGCACTTGGGTGAAGTTACAAGCTGTTCAAGTGCTTTATAAAAAAAATCGACACTGACATTGCTCTCAGTGTTGATGATGATATTCCTCAAAACGTTTCAGACAATTAGAAGGATAATAAATCAACTAAGATAAAATTAACAACACTTTGCTCATTAGTTTGGTTAATATAATCAGATTTCAGAGGCTTCTTGGAACATTGAACCATATTATATTTCTGCTTGTGTCACAGAGATAGGACAAGACGAAACCTCCCCAACATGTTCCCAATCTGCCTCTATTAGCATGATTTAATGGGACTTTCTGCTTCAGATTGCCTCCGATACTCTCAGTCCACTACTAAAGGATTCCCAGGGTGTGTCGATGTGTGTTGTTGGTAATGTTAGTGACGTTAAAAAGTAGAAATTATTGCTTTCAGTGCTGCACAGCAGTAAACAGCACCGGAATGATTACGTCACATATTTGTTTGTGTATTATTAATATTTAATGACTCACCATTTCAATAATTTAAAAGACCAAATAAGAAAATGAGGCTTTCTAAGATGGATTATTGGTCAAATAAAGGAATCATTACCCGACACGTAGCCACTGAGGCATGCAGTCAGTACGCATTGATTGTTAGTCAAACAGTCTCTAATGACCCAAGATTTACACTTTCACTGGAAATAAAGGCAGACTCAGCTGCTACCGCAAACACTAAACTATAGTCCTGCAATACAATGAGCAACACTCAGCCATTTACTTAACTGCTTCCCTTAACGTTTCTTTTTTTAACTATAAAAATAAACGTGCCACTCGGTTCACAACAAAAACAATTTCCTGCAGGGTAACCGTGCAATTTATTTGGTCCGTCACCAATTTCTGCCATTCTGGGAGCAAAATCATTAAACACGCACACAGCGCTGCCGGACCCTCTATGTGTTCCCTCACGTTTCATATGAAGTGTGATTTTTGCAGTCGCACTGGGAGACTGAAACACGCGTGTAATCACAAAGACCAGAGGGGTGCTGTGTGAGCCTTTGGCAGCAAAAGGCCAGTCTTCTGTATTTCTCCTAACAAAGAGCAACCAGCCAAATAAAAACACCCAACAAGCATGGGCTCTAATCTAAACACACAGGGAGCATGCACTGCTACAGAGAACTGTATCAGTGCGTTACCAGGTTACCAAGTGAGAGTAAAAAGCTGCATATTTACATAAATCTATCTCTGGTTGCTCTCACTTACTTATGCAAAACTACAAGAGCAGTTCTGCCTGTCAGCGCCGAAGGTGTCAAACCTTTTCATGTTAAACTGGCATTCCTCTCAAACAGATTCAAGTTCACGTAGTAATGTGTGGTAAACAGATGGATTCTTCTCTAAAAAGGAGATTTTTTATTCAGGCTCCTACAAGTCTGGCAGTTTCACACCTCAAAAATTATAGAAGCCCCCTCGCCATCTGGTGAAAGGAGATGGGTTTTGTTTTCTACAGCCCAAAAAAAGATCGTTTAGGACTGATGAGAAGAAAAAAAAGAAAGCTTCCAATGTTCACACTCCTCTGTTATTTGCTGGCATATTCCCTGTTTCTCCTCCCCGAAGATGACGCTGTCTGCACACCCACTCTTAAAGAGAGACATTGGGAAGGAGGAGGGATTCGGAGCGGCACACAGAGCCTCTCTGTTCTCAGCTCTCACTTCGCCGTAGCTCCTCTGCTTAGGCAGCGCCGACCCGATCCCTCTCACTGCACAAGAGCTGAAAAGACCCTCTTGTTGTATTCAAGCGGCACACTGGACCTCTCAGTCTGAACGAAACTGGGTGAGAGCTGACGTCTTGCAGAAAAAGGCAGGGAGACCAGCTTTCAGAGGGGGAGAAGCTGGGTCGAGGCTGGAGGGACTGACTGAAGAATGGAATGGAACCTCAGAAGGATGGAAAGTGAACTGAGGCACATCAACCCAGACCTGCTGCAGCCCAGCAAGAGCTTCAAGAAGCCCTCCTCAGGCACCATCACCCTCAATGTAGGGGGGTTTTTGTACACCGCCCACAGGACAACCCTTTCCAAACACCTGGGGTCTTTTCTGGAAGAGCTGGCCAATGGGAAAAAGGCTGTCCAGCACACCGACTCTATGGGCAACCCGTTCATCGACAGGGACGGCCCCGTTTTCCGCCATGTGCTCAACTATCTCAGAACCGGAGAGCTCCAGCTGCCTGACGACTTCAGGGAGGCGGGGCTCCTTCGACGGGAGGCAGATTTTTACCGACTCAGCGAACTGGTGGAGGCCGTGACCGAGTGGGAAAACCAGAGAGCGGCTCAGCGAGAACCCGCCTTCCTGGAGGTGACGGACAGCCACGAGAGATCGCAGGGCCTCAAGGTGTACTGCAGCGACTCAGGCTTCATTGAGAAGGTCAAAACGCGGCTGGTGCAGATTTCCAAGAGTCGGCTCGACGGCTTTCCGGAGGAGTTTGTCGTGTCCTCGAACGTGATCCAGTTCAGGCACTTCATCAAATCAGAGCCCGGCTCGCGACTCGTCCTGAAGGAGGACAGCACGTTCCTGTGCACGCTGGACTGTCTGAAACTGGAAACAGTGATGCTGGCACTGAAATCGGGCTTCAAGCTGGTCACCGCGCTAGACAGCAGCAAGGGCTCGGTGGTGGCAGCTGAGGCCCTGCACTTTGTGAAATAGGAGGAGGGAAAATAAGACGGGGAGGGGTTAGGTGTGTTGTCAAACAACCATGAGGTATTGGTTTGAAAGTCTTATAAGTCGATGTTCTTTGTAGTTTGATAGAAGACAGAGAAATATTGGCGTGCCGCTGGGTGGGAAGTGTTTATATATTCACTACACAGCAGGTGTGGCCTGGTATGTGATTCTCCTGATGACTACAGAGTGAAAACACATTGGTTTTATGGTAATTTCCCAAAAAACCTGCAAAAGTGATCAATAAAAGGAAAATAATGTCAGCTATAACTTTGATAATTAAAAATGGGCTTAAATCAGAATATTGTCCCTTTTGCTTTAAACAAATTGATAGTAAATGGTTAAATCATTGGGCTCTAATCAATTAGGCACCTGGCAGCTGCTTATCAGGTGTTCCTCATAGTTTAAATGTTTCCCTAATCATTGGTGGTGCTCCATCCCAGGACTGTTTGTGTTATCAGGGTGGAAACTTTTTTAAACACTGAATAACTTTCTCTTACTTGCAGAGAAAGGATCAGTTTCTAAGCCTTTAATCAGACAGCTAACTGTTTTTAACTGAGAAAAAGCCACTTTCACTTTAGCACGTTCTCTGGCATCTCATTAAAGGTCGTTAACAGAGTGTTGTTGGATGAAATATTTTTAAAACACCTTGAAACCTGTAACCAGCCCTTGCCCACAGCACACAGGTGGCTTATAAACAAAGTTTACAGCAGAGTTGCATTTCCATATTTACATTTGCACTCCTCATTCCAGCATCTCCATCATCCTTTCAGGAAAGAGTCGCAGAGAGTCCTTTCTGAACACCGAAAGCTTTACCAGTGGATCCGTTTCTGCTCATCAACGGCTGCAAAAGCCTCCACAACCAGCCGTGGTGTGCAATGTTGTGCCATTCAGCTTTTATAACAGTCTCTGTGTGAGTGTGTGTGAGTGGAAGTGTGTGTGCTGTGCTTCGCTGGTGTAATAGCTTGTGTTCAGTTTATTAGCTTCTCTGGAGCCTAAAGGGGAAAAAAAGCACAGCTCATTAAGGTTCATCAGGACTGAGAAAACGAAACTCCACCAAACGTTTAAGTGCAAAAAGAACTGAGATGAATGTAAGGGCTTTGAATCCAGCATGATGCATGTGCACTGAATAAACCGTGTGTTTGTCAGCGCTGTGAGCCTCTGTGAAAGCCAATGTCACAACTATGACTTTTAAATGTGAATATTTTACCAATAAAAACAAGTTTTGAAAAAAAAAACGTCTCGGATGTCTCTGCAGCCATTATATTCAAACCATTTAACACTGACAGTAAGCAGCAATTCCAATAAATATATGCACCATAAATTATCTATAACCAGCAATGGAGATGCTTAAGTATTGAAATTATATATTCCTTCAAGATGGTCATATCTCAATAAATGAGAGGAGCTTATTTTTTAAAGTGTGCCGGTTCTTGTTTACATTTTAAAAAAACAACAACTTTGTATCACAGAAATTACCAATACTTTTTCAGTCTCACAGTAATATTTAAGTATTTTAACATCAAACAGCAGTTGATTCATAAGTGATCCTTTCTACACAATTCTGCAGCAATCTAGATTTGAGAACCAAAACAGACCAAAGTTTCATCTAAGGACTAAATGCCATAAAATCTTATTTCATTTCCCCTTAGTATCAATTAACTATTTTTGAATTGAATCAAAATAAGTTATTATCTACAGTCTTAATTTGTTTCAACTGCACTGGTCGGATTCAAGTACAGAGGTATTTACAACAATTACTCCAATATTTTGTTTTCTTATTTTTTTGTTGTTGTACAAAAGATTAACGTTTATGTATTTGTTCTGTTATTGGCACAAAATCTAAATCATACATTTATGCTTAATTATGAACATAAAAGCTCTCTAATTGGTCAAATGTTTTAAACGGGAAGTTCAATGCATATAATAAAATCAGTTTCATTTACTCCACCATCTCCTGGTAGCTTTTACAGAATGAAACTTTTTTATTCTGTGAAGCACACTGCTGAAATTTTAATTTAAAATGGTCAATAAAAGTTAAGAAAGCATTCTAGATAGATCTGTTAAACAGCTGAGATCAGTTTATTATTTCCTCTACTCATCCAGTGTCAAACCTGGTTTAATGTCAGGGCGAATCACTGTACATTTGGAACACTTAAATACAACCATCTTCAGTATACAAGACTAAGATTTAGACAGATTTTATTTGTCATTTTGTTTACAGAAGTGTAAAAAAAAAGAAATTTCATTTGGAACAGCTCACTGCACAATTTCATCTTTTTTAAAAGTGCAGTCTTGAAAAATAGTAAAAATGACTGTAAATTTGCAGTTCTAACATTTTTTATTT